ATTTGAGTTTAATTGCAGTCACTTAAAGTTATGAAAAGTTGTGAAAGTTATGATGCAGCAAAAAAAATACACAGCAACATAAACTGTTGGGGCTAGGGACACAGTTTACAGCTTGAAAATAAACGAGAAAAAACAACGAGGAACGACAGAAATGTGTTCGATTCGTGCTGTGTTTGGTGTTTAGTATCATCCACGTAAGCTACACAGCAAAACATTGTCATATGGCCATGATAAAGCGTTCTGATAAAAGCACATGCGAAACAATAAGCATTTTAGCCTATGTGAATAACATAAACAGCTGTACATCTAAACGGGGCGTATGAACATTCGGCTTTATTACCTTTTCAAAATAATTCATCACACAAGAGCTGAAGAACAGACAACACAATCCTTTCCATTCGCTTGTTTGTAGTTCAACAGGCCACGCCCACCGTGGAACGAATCTATGAATATTCGTACTAACCCCGCCCATTGGAACAGTTTTTCACGGGAACCGAATATTACACAACACCGGGCAGCTCAACACTTCACACAACGCTGTTCAATATGCTTATCTCAGAAACACATGCAACCAAACCGATCAGAAGAACCTCCTCACACTCTTTCATATTCTGGATCCACTGAAGTGCACCCACAACACAATTTCAGTTGAACTGATCCTAATAGATATCTACACAGATGCAATCATGTAATTCTGGAATATCACAGCCTACCTTTTGATCTGATTCTGCCCTTGTGCTGCAGGTGCTGAATGCGAGTTTGGATGATGGGATGGAGGCGGTTCTAGAGGATCTAGGCGGACCCATGGCCTCAATTCTGGCCAACAACTCCATGTTATCCAGAGGTCTGGTGCTGCGGAGCTCTAGTAACCAGATCTCAGTGCAGTTCAGCAGTGAATGGCCAGCTCAGCCTGGGTTATTACTTTTGCGGTATAGAGGTACCATCTCACTGTTTTGTGCTAATATTTTTAATGATTTGCCTTAATATTAAGAGGAAAAATCAATTTGCTATATGATTCTTACTGAATCTGGCCTACAGAACTATAAACAAATGTTAGTAGGCCTACTAATTGGTTTATAGAATAATGCCATGGAAATAAGCCTCAGGAATAAAACATCATCTCTCATGCTAAAGTCCTTGAGGGGTTTGATACTGATGGCACTCCTTAGTGTAAACATGTTGAGGTTGTTTTTCAGAGGAGACTGACAGCATCTGCCTGTTTGGTCTGTGTTGGTGTGGGTGTGTGTCTACATGGGCAAAGAAATGTCCTAATACACATTTATTTTCAGGCAGACAGCTCATTCAGAGAGACAGAATTGTTACATGGGCAGCACTCAGAGACATCACTGTCAGCAAGACATACAGACATAAAAGAAAAAACAGGTCTTACATACTTTTGAACGGTATATGTAGCTAATCAGACAGAATCCCTCATGTCTGTGTTTCATCACACAAGAGCTGAAGAACAGACAACACAATCCTTTCCATTCGCTTGTTTGTAGTTCAACAGGCCACGCCCACCGTGGAACGAATCTATGAATATTCGTACTAACCCCGCCCATTGGAACAGTTTTTTACGCGAACCGAATTTTACACAACACCCCGGAAACATCCATGGCGGCTGTGTTTACCGGAGCATTCAGTCTGAAAAAGAAGTTTATCGGTAGTTTGTTCGCAGTGTTTGCATTCCTCGTGCACGGTAAGACACTTGTTACAATTCATCTGCCTGTCAACGATAAAAAAATTAATTAATTAAAAAACTATATATATATATGACGTATTTCCCTTGTCAAATACAGTAATAAAAATATAATTTATAATATCTGAAATAGCTGTACTACTACTGACATGAGACCGCAGTAAAGATAGTTTGCGGTTTGATATTCAGATTTATTTTGGCTTTAGATACGCAGTGCGCTGTCATAGACATGCAAATAATACCGAATATCATTCTCCATGATTTGTGAATTCAGGTGACGCTGTCCTTCGGGCCGCAATCGGTTTTTTTTTTCGTAACAACTCTTAATTTTATAATGCCTATAAGCTCCAAAAGTTGGACGAGGAACATGATTTTAAACATGAAGAACGCCTTTCTTTCACATTCCTTACTAGCGGACTAACCAAAGGGGTTACAGACAAGAGCTTTGCTGTGAAAAAATTCACAGATAATAAAACTGCATTATAAAATTAAGAGTCGCTACGAACACTCCCCCCCCCCCCCCACCAAATCACCAAAAT